AACAAAAAAAATATTACTCAAACTTATGTTAATTAAAACAGAGATAATTAAGTCATAAAACAAAATCGCAAAAAATATTAGAGAAATTGTTTTAAAGTTTAATGTTTTACGTCATTGCTTTAATAACGTAAACAAAAATTTATGCGAAAAACTAGAAAAAGTTACTAAACATGCCAAGTTTGAAAACATATTCGCTAATATAGCAAAAAGTACATAAAAATTTTTTATATTTCCATCTGCATAAAAGGTCGAAATTTCAATAACTTACGTCATCCATCAATAAAATTATATTTTACATTTAAAAGAGATAAATTTAAATATATAAATGCATTAAAAATTAAGTTATAGTTAAAAAATCATCAGGATGACTTAGGAATCTAATAGAATAGACATTCATTGATAAGTGTTCCAAATTTCAACCATCAACCATGTAGCTATTTTAGCAAATCTTGGTTGGCCCAAGACAGGTTTTCCGTAAAAATCGCTAAAAACAGAAAAGTGATCCAAAATCATTTAAAATATTTTAACAATGTTTATTTTTATTTTGTTTAACATAAATATTTACTTAGCGAAGAAAGATATTTTTTTTATTCAAAAATGAAAGCATTTATAGAAAAAAAATACTATTAATTTAAAGTTAGTGAGTTTTTATACTTTTTATGCGGAAATTCTTTTTTTTTTTAAACACAAAAATTCTTGTGACGTCAAGCTCGCTTTTATATTAAGTGAAACAGCCGTGATATATATATATATATATATATATATATATATATATATATATATATATATATATATATATATATATATTCATACTGTCCCACTGGGAATCCTTATATTCATACTGTCCCACTGGGAATTCTCCCGGTGCTCCCTGTGGCCAGTCCGCCATTGTATATCAGACCTAAACAGGAATGGCTAGCAATTGCACGCTGTAACTGACCACGCTTAACTTTTTTTGTTTATAATTTGACCACTGCTCTTTTGATGTTTGAACAATTTAAATGTAATAAAAAAATTGTAATGTTAAGAATAACTTTAAATCATTGATCTTTTTTAAAATTTATGTTTTATGCGATGGCTTAATTAACAAATTACAAAATTAATTATAACAATTGTTCAAAATAAAAGCAGTTTGTGTAAATCAACAAAAAATGTTATGTGTAAATTCTTTTTTTATGTTGGCATTTATTTTTTATGAAAAATTTAAATGTTTGAAACTACTTTTCTGTGTTTTTTAAAAATCTTTCTAAAGATTATTTTTTTAACTTTAATTAGGAATAAGTTAAATTCAATTTTTCATTGCAATGTAATGATTTAATTGCTATTTTTTTTTTTTTTTTTTTGCTTCTATTTTAAAAAAAAGTTGTTTAAAATTTTTTTTTTAAACTTGACTTACTAATCATGAGCATGAAATAATTAAAAAACACTACTTTAAAAAGGCTTCGGTTTTTTTTAAACAATTTTTTGCAACTTTTTGGAAAAAATGTTTATGCAATTAAGAAATTTTATATTTTTTTCTTTTCAATAATTTGAATAATTGTTCATTTATTAAATAATCGT